CAAAGTTGCCCAATTTTGATTGAACTCTGTGTGACCTGAGGAATGTGTCAGATGTATATTGAGGGGCCAGACTATTAAGTTTTTTACTGTATGAATCAGGAACAAAGTCACTTCTGTAATGGACCAGTAGCCAGTGGAAATGTGCACACCTTTAAATGTAAATGAGAAGGTGTTAATATTGGATCATTTGATTCTGTGACTGACAAACACTTGTGATGTATTTTGAACACATTCAGACTGCACTACAGGACTAAATGGTAAAATTAGATGACTGCCAATAAAAACTACAATTGCTCCTCCCTCCTTCTCCACTGCTTATCATCACAGGTGTGGCCACTGTCAGAATCTGACTCCTGATTGGAAGAAGGCTGCCACTGCCCTCAAGGTAAACAAAACGTCTCCGGTCATCTTTCCATTGATTACCAGTGAAAAAGCTTCAACCATTCATCTGTTGTAGGGAAACATTCCCGAGTGCAATCAGGGCTGGGTTACAAAATCAAATATCAGAATCAGTGAATACTGCTATTAGCAATAATAACAATATGATTATGATGGTGTAATTTCACTAGATATTTGCAGACATAAGAAGCAATTATTTTAATAATCGGATATATACCAAGCAGGTACACTAGAGGCATCCATTATTTATTTCACTCCGCTAAAACAAACACGTTAGATCATAAAATTGTTTCATTTCACTGCATTGCATCATTAAAGACCAGGACCAAAAGAGACAACACTGCTGCATCTCGACTCCTAAGCTCTAACTCACAGCTTTATTCCACCTACAAATGTTTCAAAGTTTATAACTCAGCAGTTAGAGTAACTGCAAACAGAGGCGTGAGAGGTGGGTGGATATGGGACTGCAGTCAAATATTAATGAATAATATTCAGTATAAAAGCAAGACTCAAGGTTTATTATTTAATGGAATGTGCTTTTCTGCACACAGTTATCACCTTTAATATTATCTATCTAAATGACATTGTGTGTAATGATTAACAGGTTTGGCTGTATTTTGCTGCAGTTTGAAGTTTAGAGTGCACCCTCCAACTTATTTGTTCTGAAATCCTTCAGGGTATTGTCAAGATTGGTGCCGTAGATGCCGACCAGCACAAGTCACTGGGTGGCCAGTACGGCGTCAGAGGTTTCCCCACCATCAAGGTCTTTGGAGCCAATAAGAACAAGCCAGAGGAGTACCAAGGTACCCACAAAACCACCAAACATGTAGCTTCTGCTGCTGAAAATAGCTGAAAAATACTGATGCAAGTGTCAGAGAGGCAATCTTGGCGGTGCTATAATCAAGTATTGTTTTTGGCTGCAATGGCTGACCTCTGCATGCCTTTTACCCTTCAGGTGGACGCAGCAGCCAGGCCATCGTGGATGGAGCCATGAACGCGTTGCGCGCTCTGGTGAAAGACAGGCTGAGCGGCAAGTCTGGCAGCTCTGGCTACAGCAAACAGGTAGATCCAGCAAGCGAACACTTGCAGGAGCTTTTTCGTTGCAGTTATTTAAAACCGGAAAGGATGAAATGATTCACTGAACGTGGTTAAGTAACACTCGATTGCCTTCCAGCAGAGCGGCGGAGGCAGTAAGAAGGATGTGGTCGAGCTCACTGATGATAACTTCGACAAGATGGTGCTGGAGAGTGATGATGTGTGGCTGGTAGAGTTCTTCGCACCCTGGTGTGGACACTGCAAAAAGTGAGTTTGGTACCTGACTAAGCTTTCTCTTAGTGTCCCAGTAAGTCTGGGTAATCCTAGTTTAGTAGAAAGTAATCTTACTTCTGAGCAGTGAGATCTGAACTATGTTTTTTACTATATGAATCCAGTTTGCAACATTTTCTACACTAGTTTTTCAGAATCAAAGCTTTGTTATTAAAATAAACTATGCACACTTCTAATTTTGAATAGAGGATTTTCTACTGTGGGGATTTCATTCTTTTAAGTAGTTTTCCTTAACCATCGCTCTGTTCTGTTGTCAATAGCTTGGAGCCTGAGTGGGCAGCTGCAGCCGCAGCTGTCAGGGAGCAGACCAAGGGCAAAGTTCGCCTCGGAGCAGTGGATGCTACTGTACATCAGGCTGTTTCCGGCCGCTACGGGGTAAGATTTGATAAGTTAATGTGCTTCATTGGTGCACAATTCTTACACAAACCAGCAGTGCTCGGTGCAAACACCACTTCACAATGAGATACAAGGTGGGATGTTTTTTTAGCAGTCGTATCAATTTAACTTAATTTAAATAGTCAAATTAGTCAGTGAACAGGATAATTCACAGGCCACTAAGCTCCGGGATAAAAGGGAATATCTGCTTTGCATATGTGGCTTTGACCTTGTAAACATACCTGCTTCAGTCATGAGTATGAATCTCCACTGAATCACATTTACCATGCTTAATACAATTACATTAATTACTGATCAAATTTCAGTTTCAGCAACCCTTTCAACATTAATTACAACCTAACAGTTGAGTCTTACCACTGAATGTCATTCAGACATATCATGTTCTACAGAAGAATTAAGAGATAGCTTTCCTGTATTGAATCTCTAATTAAATACAAACACGTAACCGAATCTGAGGCAGTTGTTCACTGAACTGAAACAATATTTTCTGCGTATAGATCCGAGGATTTCCCACCATCAAGATTTTCCGCAAAGGTGAGGAGCCCGAAGACTACCAAGGAGGCCGCTCCCGTGGTGACATCATCGAGAGGGCTTTGGATTTGTTCTCTGAGAACGCTCCTGCTCCTGAACTGCTGGAGGTCGGTACACTTGTGTATTGGCATCATGCATTCATGTATGAAAGTTTTATAGCGCTGGTATTCGACAGTATTCTGACCAGAAGGACCAACAGTAATCATCTGGAGAGGATTTTTTTTATTCTTAAACCACAATATTATTGCCTTTTTCTGCTATGTTACTGAACACTAGTGATTCAACACATAATCCGTTCACTAACACTGCAGCATAGTCACTACTATGTGTGACCACACAAATATAAAGAAATTCATACTAAATCAACACAAAATCCAAAGTGCTGTTACAGAGCGCTCATGGAGCAGTTTAAACCACACTGAGCGTTAATTTGTCTACACACAAATTTCATGTTGAATGTGAATTCTCATAATGTTATATTTAATGTAAATGTTTGTTTCTCAGATCCTCAATGAAAACATCTTGAAGAAGACCTGTGAGGACAGTCAGTTGTGTATAATTGCTGTCCTGCCACACATCCTGGACACAGGTGAGACAGACATCTGACTCTGAACAATCAATAGTTCAGAAGTTTTACCTTTTTAAAGAAAACTAAATGGTTGCAGGTGACAACAAACGTGTATATATATATATATATATATATGCAGGGTTATAGAGGCACTACAATACAGTTTAAGAGTGTATCTTTAACATCTCTCACACCAAACATAGATATATTATAAGATCCTTCTAATTCTTGAATCACTCACCATCCACTGTCGTCGTATCTCAATAGGGGCTGCAGGTAGAAACGGCTACCTGGAGGTGATGATGAAGATGTCTGAGAAGTACAAGAAGAAGATGTGGGGGTAAGGATTAGAGACCAATAATGGATTATTATTCGTAAGACTAATTATGACTGCGACTAACAGCCCACACTCCCTTTGTCAGCTGGCTGTGGACTGAGGCTGGAGCTCAGATGGAGCTGGAGTCCTCTCTGGGTATCGGTGGATTTGGTTACCCTGCCATGGCCGCCATCAACACACGCAAGATGAAATTTGCTCTGCTCAGAGGCTCCTTCAGTGAGACGGGCATCCACGAGTTCCTCAGGTAAAAGGGAGGTGGCCGCTCCCTGATGTGATCTCATTTTCTCACCATTACAAGAATCTGAATAAAAATGTGCTTCAGAGTGCGCTGAATGCTGGCACTCACATGGTTTGTCTCTTTCCTTCCAGGGAGCTGTCTGTGGGCCGTGGCTCAACTGCCACATTTGGAGGTGGGTCCATGCCCAAGATTTACTCTGTTGAGGCCTGGGACGGCAAAGATGGGCAGGTGAGTGGGAGCATCACAGTGGTCTGTTAGTCAGAGAAGACAAAAAGCAAAATGTGGCTCTGCAGATGGCTGGAAAGATGCAGACAAATATAGTCTATCACAGCACAATCTCAGTAAGACTTTGACCAACATATAAAACACAATAATGTTAAAACAGGATCACTACAGTTTAAAAGAGACGACAGACCAGTAATTGATTGTTCAAGCTATTAATCAACTGTTTTGAGTCCCCCCCAAACTGCACGTCAACTGATGACAGATATTCAGCACGGTTCAAATGGGGCTCAGTGCTTTTAGTGTCTGCCTGGCTTAATACAAAAAACCTCTACCTACTCCTTTCTGCCTCTGTACTGCAATCACACGCACAGGAATATGTCAAAAACACTATTATGTAACACAGTGCTTGGAGTGCTGCCAAAATATCCAGATAATTTGTCTTTTCTCACAGAGTTAAAAGTCCATCTGTAGTTATTTGTCTCAATTTAAGAAGAGCTTGACGTTTTTATGTCTTACAGTCAAGCAAAATGTAAAAGCACGTACAGCTCCACTGATAATGATTTGGATGTTGTAATATTTAAATGAGCGGAAAGTTTTCATGCTTATCAACATCTTTGCTAACTTGTTATTTTGTGCTCCTCGTCAACCGCAGCTTCCTGTGGAGGAAGACTACGACCTCAGTGATGTAGATCTGGATGATGACTTTGACAAGGACGAGTTATGAGCCCAAACGTGGGCGGGATCCGATCCAGATTGGCTCTGTTGAATCTGGTCTGGTCCTGTACGACCCGCCTCCCCTCTCCTGTGGACGAATGGGAGGCGCGGTCGCCCAGTTACTGAAATACTCCAGAAAAGACACATGGGAGACACCTGCAGTTTCTCACATCATCTTTGTCAGTCTCATGTGGACAGGAGGGAGGGTGGGGGGCGTGTGTCACGTCCCTGGAGTGAACCCTGCCTCACGTACCTGCTGAACGTTAGAAGCTGCATATTTATACGGCCGCCGCCAGCTGAGGAGAGGGAGGACGATGGCTCTGAATGCGGCATTTCAGTTGTTCATTTAAGTCTTTCTCAAACATTGTTCCCCCTCTCCCCTCTTCAGCCTCCCTCAAGCACCTATTTTAAGATGTGGACTTGTCAACGTAACACTTCAATGTCCAATCTGATGTGACTTTATATAGGGTTTTTTTTCTCTCTCTTTTTAAACCAGTGTGAATCTTGGTGGGGTTACATCATGTCTGTCCAGGACAAGGGAATACTGTGGGACTTCTTGTGTAGATTTTTCTTACACGACTTTATTTCAATTGTGTGAAAACAAAATTACATTTTTGTTACAAAAATAAAAAGGAATAAAAACAATCACAGCCTCCTTATTCACATAAACTGTTACAATATCAGAAAACGCATATCACCGAGCGCATGCAATACCAAGGCATATAGAACTTGTTCAGAACAGTAACTTGTTAAGCTACAGTTGACATACTGAACAACGATAAGCCACTTTTCAGCACAGCTAAGTCCAATCAAATTATATGAAGTGATGTAATTAGTTTCCTCTTAGTGTAACATAATGGGGCCATAATACTTGCGAGCACATAATCCAGTCTGTATAAATATATGATATGGCACTTCACTTACAGAAAACACCATTTCAAGGCAGGAGAGCTTTGGAAAAGCTAATACGCAGAATACTTTAACTGAAAGCACATCATAGTCCACAGAAAAGGAGCCAGATTGAAAAGTATCCATGAATGTAAACATTAAGACATGGAGTGTCATTAAAATGAAAGGATTGTCTGTTGACGGGGGGTGTGAAGACGGCCAAGCCTTTATCAGGTGAACAGCATAAAGCTGGATGGATGTGGGTTTGCGATTGCGTTTTAAGAGTGTGTCCGTCATTGTCTCTGTGCTCAGAACTGACGAGAGGCTCCCTGATCCGACTGCAGCAGTCTGACAATGGATGGGTCGCTCTTGGCACCTTTAATGAACTCCTCCAAAGACAATCTACCTGTGAAGTAGAGACCAAAAAAAGATTCACAGTCAGCAGCAGGCAAACGTGATGGAGTGAATCATGCAGCAACCCGCCCACTAATGTTCCTTTAGAGCTCACACATAATCACTGCTGCCCCAGATAACGCACAACAAAGTACACATCTTTTAAAGACATTACAATGAACCTGCATTAACATTTTCATGACTGATTGAGTCATTCATAGCTGTCAAGTCATATCAACCAGCAGGTGATGCTGTTGTGCTATTTTCATGCAATTAAGGAATTCTTTGGGTGTATTGACTAGCACAAAAAGGAATGGGCCACGGAAAGAACAGCACGTCCTTTTAGTGAGTATTTCAAAGTCATTCATTTATAAAATCTTTATAGATCCTCATTATTAATTGGTGATGGCCATAATAACTCTGTAAATATTAATGAAATGACATATATACAAATAAATCAAAATGGAATTATACCAGTAAAATAAAACATGAGTAAGATACTTAACTATCCAAATTGTACGACTGCATATTATTTGAAAATATTTAAATGTAGAATTAATGGAAAGGTATTTTTATATCTGCACAAACCTTGCAAAATAATATGAATTACTTTGATATACTTTAGCCATCCCCAACAGACTGCCATCTTTGCACAATTTTACTTGAGATTTGTATCCATTACGTCTTAAACTCAAGTCAAATTTATGAAAAAATAGAAAAAGTGACAAATCCCGGTAACAAGTGTTGCCAAGTTTTGACTAATCTAGCACAAAGACAAAGCACACCATAAACGACTATTGCTGTCATACAGCATCTGTGTAAAGAAAGGAGGGTTGACAGAGTTTTGGTGGATTAACCCCCGCCAACTGCAGCTGTAGCCGGAGGCCTGGTCTGTGATACCATACGATGTTATAAAAAACTTGAGCCTGAGACACACAGTTTGACCTTCTGCTTCAAAACACGCTGAGCTTCCCACTGCTGTTTGAATAGCTCTAAATATCTGACTGGGATGTGACAAAAACATTCAGAACAGTAAGACTAAGGTACATATCACATGGGTGTAGCGTCACCTTTTCACACTAAATGTCAAACCGCTGGAATCGAGGCGGCTCAGCAGGATGAGACTGTTAATGACCTTGTGAGTCGTGTTCGTGTTATGTCACGTTGTTAAGTGACGTCTTATTTCTCTCCCTCTCCCTTCGGTCACACATCTTCCTTATTTCCTGTTACTCTCCAAACTGCTCTGCGATGGCGAGTGTATAATGTCAGAGACTATTACATAACTAATCTTATGTGTGCCTTACCCTAACCGTGTGAATGAATAGCTGTGCCATGTTAGTTCACTTTTGTTTTTCAATAAGTTTCATTTTGAGTCGGTGCATATTGCAGATGTGTCGTCATGGAGGACCGGCATACTCATTAAGTATCTATATAAAGCACAGTGTTGGTAATGCTTTCCCCCTATTTTGCATTTATAAGCAGCAGTATATAAGCATTTGATAAATATAATGTGGATGTATGCACATAGAAGGATTTGTAAGTAATTACAATCTCTCCAATCTATGAAGATACATTTTATTATTACAATCGTGCTTTATTATATTGTCATTCATGACCTGTTTATACAGCAGCCTCCAACAATGGGAGCCAACTGGAGGAGTTCAAGTTGTAGACAAAAGTATCAATAAACACAGAATCAGAACTTTTATTGGCCGTGTAAACGTACACATACAAGGAGTTTGAATACACAAAAACAGGCATACACACATTCTGTTTAAAACTATTATTACCATTTATTAAATGGTTATATAAGAAGAAGACAAAGAATTAGACCCAAAATACACACATGCACACAGAGGACTGATAGACATGCAGTTAACTGGAGAAATACATGCTAAATATGCTGACTTAAAGTACTTTTGGTCGCAGAAACATGCCCATAAAAAAAAAACATCAGTCTTACCATCGTTGTCAATGTCCATCTGTCTGAAAATCTTATCTGTCCTTTTTTCTGGTGTTGATTCGTCCTCAGGCATCTTCATCACTGATGATACCATCTTGTAAATTGCCTACAAAGTAGGGCAACAAGGACTGCTGTTATGTTCACATTCATTTGGTTGGTCTGTGTGAAGCTTTGTGAACTGAAATATTTGTCACATGTCTCATCTGAATGCTTTGACCTGTTTTCGGTTGCTACCTGGTAATGATGGTGATGGCAACTGAAGCTCATCCTGCTGTTACTGAAAGTCGCTCTGAACAGGCTGTAATGTGTCTGTGTCTCCTGAAGCTATACACACTTCACATCATGTAAAGGCCAGTGGCTTTGATTAAAGAAACAGGTTTTGCTGAAAAAACATAAAGTATTCTACAGTAACAAAAGCACTGATGCTTTTGAGTGTTTTTTTTCTACATTCATTTGTATCCACAAACACAACGGACTGAGCCAATATTGATATGGCCCTGCAGGCTGCTCAGCTAACCATATTGGAAGAGTAAATATAGCCACAGTGATAAGAAAAAACAGAAAGGGCAGCCTGCATCCATGATGTGAGGTGGAAATATCCTGACTACAAAGCCTAAAGGCAGTCATCAGACAGTAAAATGCCTACAACACAAGGAATTAGTGGATTCATCAATAATTACCAACTATTGTGATAACTGATTGATTGTTTCGGCAATTTATCAAATAAAAATATCAAACTTTTCTCAGTTCCAGCTGCTAAGATGTGAGGTAAGCTGCTTTTCTCTGTCTTATGTGCTAGTAAACTGAATATCTTTAGGTTTTCGACACGAAATAAGACGTCACCTTGGGATTAAGGAAATTGTGATGACATTATTATTTAATAGACCACACAATGAATCAGTTAATGTCAGATTCATCAATAATGAAAGCAATATAGTAAAAGAAAGCCTTACTTGAAATTAAAACCTGTACAACAAATAATAATTAAGATGAGTCTTTAATTTTCAATAAATTACATTTGTTATTTTGTTATGTATACAGTTGGTTTAAAAGAACCCTAAAGAAATCTGATTGGATATCTTCCTTTTATCTTTATTTTCTGGGTTTTTTTAGGTAAAGAACTTGAATAGTCATTGTATAATAGCAGCTACATTTCAAGGTTTGTATAATAAAAAAAACACGTGCACTGCTTGAACCTCATCAGGACATTTTTATATCTCAGATGAAGCAGAGTAAGGCTGAAGAAACTGCTCTATACAGCATAAACATCCATTAAAACCTCATACCTGAACTATCTCCAGCATCTCTGCCCGGCTGATGTACCCGTTCCCGTCCAGGTCGTACATGCTGAAGGCCCAGCGCAGCTTCTGCTCCAACCCGCCACGAGACGTCACACTCAGGGCGATGATGAACTCCCTGAAGTCGATGGTGGCGTCGCCGTTGGTGTCAAACGTGCGGAAGACATGCTCGGCGAACTTAGAGGCGTCTCCGTAGGGGAAGAAGTTGGCATAGATCTTCTTGAACTCCTCCACAGTCAGGTGGCCGGTGGGACAGTCCTTGAGGAAGCCGCGATACCACTCCTGCAGCTCGTGGTCGGTGAACTCTGTGTTTTCTCTCAGGTCGTTCAGGACCTCGGGCCGCAGCTTGCTGTTCTGTTTCCCCATGACACGGCACTCTCAGGCTGGTTTTCACTTCTCCGCTCTCACTGTCGCGTCGTTTGCTGCTCGGCTTTCTCTGCTCCTGCGGGACACCGACAACCCTCATTAATACCCTTGTATGAATACCATAAATGATTCATTGGTTCAATAATTCCGCTCAGCTTGCAGCAGTGTTTTATCATAAAACACGTGCTGAAGATGCTCCTCAGACAACCGAGCTGAGGGATACATTTGGACAGTTCAGAGTTCGTACACAGGAGAAAAATACAAAAACAAAAAAAAATACAACTCAGATGTCATGAGATGAGGGTACAAATGTGTTTGTGTGTGTGTGTGTGTGTGTGTGTGGTGGCCTGGTCTCCGTGGATACAGTATGAATCCTCTGGCATGGTGATAATTTATCGACCCTTCACTGCATGGTGGAAGGACAAGTGTCCTGGGGCATTGTAATTCTCAATAAAGCCACTTTCTAAAAGGTCAGGCTTGATGCCTGACTGTTGTTACTGAGAAGGCAGACCAGCTATATCCCCCCCAAAAAACCCTCCCTTTTTTACCCACCCGGGGGGGGGGCCCAGAAAATGAATATCCTAATTGATTTTGAGCAGGTGAAGTTTCACACACCGACTGAAGAGAAACACAAGCGAAGTTTAAAAAAATACCAACGCAAACAAAGACGCTGAAACATTTGACCACCTGGGCCCATTCACCATCGGTTACAGTGGTTTGTCTGTTTCCATGGTTATATTCTGCAAAATAAAATCAGTTTATTCATGTATGCAGGGGTATTCATGATTGGGGATATGAGGGAGCATAAAAACAACACATCCAGAATAAAAACCATAACAGCGTAATAGTATTAGATGATGCAACCCGCTGATGAAGCAGAGGCAGACATGAGGGTGTTAGTCAGCACAGAGGTTGTGACATTTTACAGTTTGCATACTGATTTTACACGTTAACAGGGATTTTGTTTCTCTTTCATATATTTAGTCAGACAAGACACATTTACGGGCAATATTTGGGATTAATGAACACATACAGCGTGCGCCACTGTACGAAAGAAAGACAAGAAGAAACAGAAAGAAAGAAAGAAAGAAAGAAAGAAAGAAAGAGACAAAGATCAACGTGGTCAGAATGTACAAAGACAAAAACACACGATGGCTGAGATAATCTTTTACAACATGTATCTGGTAAAGTGTGTGTGGGAGGGACAGAAAGAGAGATGTGCGGGGGCCTGGAGGAAGAAAGAATGGAAAAAAGTATGACACATAGAAAGAAAAACTATTTCCAGCCGTACTATGAGAGCCGCTCTGCTAATACCTGCGGTTCAATTGCATAATAATCCCTCTGAATAACACCTCCACTGCTCTGAGTTACCTGTAATGAATTGATCTGAGAGAGAGAGGGAGAGATGTATTATCCCCACGTTCTCTCTCTTTCAATTATTGAAATCCCGTCGCTCCCGTGTTATTGGCACCGGGATGATTCTATCTGCCGCAGAACAAACGAGAGCAGCGTGGATTTGGATGAGGTCTTTTCTACACACGGACGCCCTCATTTCTCATGACTGTCACACGGTGTGTAATTTCCTGCAGTTTTATGAATCAAAGTCACTGAGTAACACGAGAAACAGGCGATGACACAAACTCTTAATGATGTCACTCAGGCTTATGGATGGAAAATAAATCAGTGAAACCAGACGAACACATCAACACAGCTTATTTCTTATTTCTTACCCCGGTTTTCTTATTCGTACAATGAATCAGCAGTTCAACAAAGGGCACACTGCTGAAAAAAAAACTCCAATCATTCCCTTTCACAAATGAAGCTACAATTGTTTTCAACCAGTGTGGTGAGTAAGAGTTTACAATGCCATATTTATTTTATTATTTTATTTATTTATTTTATTTTTTCTGTGTGATTTATGTGTGATTTGAATAATTATATATTTGTATTTGTGTATATTTTATACACCAACTGCACCAGGTCACATTCCTCAGAGGAGTAAAAATCTACTTGGCAATAAATAAACAAAATTCTGATTCTGGTTTATTTGCTGTAGTATTTAACTCCAGATTGTTTGTTTGTTTCGTTTGTTACCAGCACTGAGGCTGAGCTTTAACCCAAACCGCTGCAGTGGTCCTGCTTCCTGGTGTAAATGTGATCAGGGCAAAAGAGACGCTTCCTCTCAGTGAACCTTCCCTGAATAATAAAAAACAAACATACTTTGAGCTGTTTGTGGTGCTAAAAGTCATTAGGATTCATCTTCTAGGCACAGTGAATGTCAAAAAAATGTCACGACAATCCATCAGATAATTATGATGTTTTAGTCTGAACCAAAGTGATGGACAACAGACCAGCACTGTTGTATCTGGAGCAGCTGGAATGACTAAAAATACTCTGATGGGAATGATATTGATTTAAAACAGAGAAAACGCCTCCCATTGCTTTTCAGAATAACAACACAGTGACACATTATCATATCGGATTTATTTTTTGGTACTTAACTCTGTAGAAGCTTGTGAACGTCATGGTGCAGCGGTGAAACAGTGGAATGACTCTGTTTTAACAGGGCTGTGGTATAAATCACACGTTGCCCTGCAGGCCTGACAGTACTCCTTCCTCTCTAACATACAACAGGATGAGGAAGCGGCAGCACCTCCTCAGCTCTGGGTCACATGGACTTTTCCAGGACAGCTCAGTGTGCAGGCTGAGCCGGAGCAGACATAAATATGGGCGTCGCTATTTATTCCCTCCAACACACAAAGCCACATGAAGACTCCAGGCTGGAAGATTGAAAAGTGCTGCTGTGATGTTTCAAGAAGCTCTGAGGCTAAATTAAGAGTTTACTTCCAAAGAGTTGTAATTTAGGGAGAGAAACATATTTGTACTGTGGTGAAACAACACCAACGCACTTATCGAAGATTGCGGGTTGCAAAACAGCTTTACAGATTCCTCTGGCCTCTGAATTCTGCTCTTTAAAGCCTGGAACAAAACTAGAATCCCACAGATAAAGTAGAGGGTTGTAATCAAGGCATATTATTTTAGTTACTGCACAGACTGTTGCTTGTCCCAATACACACCGGGCAATTATTTTACCATCTGAGCTTATAAAATGCCAGCGATTTCTCCAAGTATGCACACAGGCCTGCGTTTGAGACGTCACAGGATGTTTTATACGTTTTCACAGCTGGGAACTGTTCTATTCTGGTGTCATTTCTGAAAGTTCCTACTCGGTGCGGTGGAAAATGTTTCGAAACGTGGTCAGAAATAACTTCTAGAAACCGTCCTGACACCCACGTGACCTCGTTCGCAGAGAGCTGTCACCGCTTTGACTGCTGGAGTTGCAAGGATCAGTTTGTTCGCTTGAGACACAACAGCACCGCCGAGATTGCCATTCCACGTTCAGTGTTTGCAATTCCCCTCGATTACACAGCAACAGTCTCTCTCCTTGTCCCCAACCCCCAGAGCCATCCCTGTTTTGTATGGTCCACTTTTTCCAGTGGGTTCCCCGCCTAATGAGACTGTTTCACACAGTCGCTGCAGAGCTACAGCGGGGGCTCCTGTAAACCTCTGACCGGCCCAGTTTCACTGCTGTTTGCCGTTCTTGGGCCCACCTCATTTCCTGGGTAATGGCTTGTCACAACAAAGAAAGGCTTCATTCTTCTTCCAGATGCTCGTTACTTCTCGTAAGAGCGAAGAAGACGAGGAGTCAGAAAAAGGAGAGACGAAGGGTGTGGATAAAGATACAGTGGTGTGTCCGTTCAGCATGACGCACACACACAACGGATGGAGCTCATTATGCTTCTGATCAGTGAGTGTAGGAAACAAACATAGTGCAACAAGTGCTGTTAAAGTCTGTCCTGAGGTAAAAAAAAATATATTTTTGGCAAATAAATTAAATTATTATATATTTTTTTAAGTATTTTGATAATTCATGAGTCATGTATGTCATTTTATTAGGAAAAACACCCAGTTTTAGCTTCTAAATTGTGAATATTCACTGGTTTTCTTCATCTTCTATGGTTTTTACATTTCATATCCTGGTTTTGGACAGTCAGGCAGACAAAATGTGACTTTTTTTCGGTATTTTCTGACATTTTATGAACTCAACAACTACAGACGACCCTAAAACAAAGTTTTCTGCCCCAAACTAGAACTGATATTTGACAGAGCATTTCCCATCCAAATATTTTTCATGCCGCCTGTGCCGTTGCCTCTTTCGTTTGATGAACGCAAATCAAACAAACTGATGCGGTTCGGTGCACAGAAAGAAAGCAGACTTCCCATTTTTGTGGTGCGTGCGGCCCGCTGTGCAGTGGACGAGCAGGAGGAGCACTGCGTCCTGAAGCGCTGTGAACCGCTGGTTACTGAGGCCGCATCAGGTGGGTGAGGAGTTGGTCCAGTGTGAGAGGAGGGAGAAACACAAAATGAGCTCTGCAGATATTCTCGCTTTCAACGCTGCTTCGTGGCAGTCTCTCTGAACTAGTGTCAGAGAAAATCATGCAGTGGATCAGGATGAAGTCCCCTGACACACCAGTAGTCAAGGCAACAGGATAGTACTGCTAAGGCTTATGAGAGGGAGGCGGTGTAACTATCAATCTGGGGCACACGCAGGGCAGGAGATATATCGAGACTTAAGAGAAACAAGGTTTTCTTTCTGCGTGCAGTTTGATCTAACACAACTCACACTCATGGCTTGATATTGTCCAGTTTACAAACTATTGTCATGTAACTGTCCTGTGAGCAAAAGTTCACAAATGCAAAAATCATGATGTTTATTTTTATTTTAGCAAGTGAGTCTGTGAGAACGGTTTTGAACTGGTGAGTTGGCTCATTTCATTTTGGATCGTATGTCGGCTTTGGTCTTGTTATTAAAACGTGTGAGATAAAATAAAAACACTACACAAGAGGGTGGAAAAGTAGTTGAAATGAAGGGCTGCCAAGGATTATGATGGTCAGACACACAGTTTTAAAGGAAGGGTAGTAAAAGGGGAGGTAAAGGAGCTCGACACACCTTTAGCAGAGTCTTCACACCAGATATTTCTCTAATACTATCATTTATTAACTTTTAAATTAAAAAAAACAGTGTTAGTTAGTTGGTTCAAGTTTATTTATTCAGGACATTTCACTGAGATCAAGCTGTAGAAACAGTTAATTAGTCAAACACAGTCAAATATTATTTTTAAGATTATTTCCTGGGTGTTTTATTTTGTTATTGTTGTTATGTTATTCTACGGCTTTGATGTGTTTAGGATGGACTATAAAACTTTTATTTTGTTAAACAACCTTGTGTTTCCTTGATTATATTATTAAGCTTCTGAATAATTAGTTTTGCACATTTGTTCAAACAGTGGAGGACAGATTATTGCTGAGTCGTTGCTGTTGTGCAAACACTTGTCATATTGTGATATGCAGCCTATTGATACAGGCAAATGTCCTTCTATTTTGTCACATTGCCCAGCCCGAATTTGTCTTCAACTAAAAATACATACATGAATATTAATTAATTTTATTCAGGAATTATTTACAGTATGTTTCAAGCATTGGTACTCGTAAAACTTGCACTGCCAACGGCCGCTTTAAAACAGTTTTCAGTTATTCTAAAGCAAGTGGTTCCCAATCTGAGGGTCGGGACCCTACTAAAGGTCACAAAAGCTCCAATGCGAGGTTGTGAGGCCTTCTTGATTTTATGGCTTTTAAGAAAACTAAATTAAAATTTACACAATAGGCTTATATCTCAGCATCTGGTTCACTTTTGTGAAGAATAGTAAATGTAAACTGTTAAGTAAATTAATTAACAGAACAACAGCCAAGCATCAGGCACAAGAAAACACTACATTGGTCAGAAAATAAGCCTATTAAGTTTGTATGATTGTTAAAAGGTATTAAAAAAATCCACAATACAGAGAGGGAATTGTATAAAAAGATCCCTAAACAGGAAAAAATCAGCTCAAAATCCATTCTGTTTTATGCAAGCGTATATGAGTTAACTGTACATAATGTGAAATATCCATAAAAGATGTCCCTCCAGTCAGTTTACTCAGTGATAGTAAAGGTTGGGAGACACTGTCTGGATGGGTGTAACCCTCCTCACACCCTCCTCTTGCCACAGCAGTCCGGGGCAAAACCACTGGAGCAGACTCCAACCACCAACCCCCTTTTATTTTTTATTTTATATTTTTATAAAGTGATAAAAAAAAAAAAAACTTACCTGTTTTAGGAGTAACGGTTGAGACTCTCTTCCGGTTGAAAAATAAAAAATAATAAAAAAAAGTGCACTTAGGGTTAAGCCCACTTTGTGACGTCACCGACAGCCTAACTTACCGTTAACTTACAGTCTTGCAGCTGATGAAACTCTATAAAACACAAAAGACAACGACAACACGAGGATAATTTAAAGGGCGAGCGAGTGAGTTTCACGAGCCCTTCTCACACAAGAAGACTGCGTTAAGTTTGTAAACCCGAGTAGCTTCAGTGTATGGTTTTATGTTTTAATGTCTCTCTGTGAAGTCGGTCCTCCTGCCTCCGGTTCCAGGGGCAGCGGCTTTATCACACAGTGGAAGATGTGGCACAGAGCTCGGTTTTCATCCGACTTGCCCAAGTTACTTACTAAAGGGTTTTCTCTTCTCTTCGTAGGCAACTTAAAGGTGCTTCGCCCAGGCTGCCGGAAAAGGTAGCACACTTTGTAACGATAATTAGTACCCGTAAATGCTGCTGTTATTTAATAGGCATTTTATCCAGATTTTTTTTTTACTTCGAGTTCATGAGAGGTGCTTCAAACCCCCCCACACACACGCTGAATGGACCCGTCCACACTCGCTGCTTCCATCGTAGAAACAGTCGCAGCAGCGTACAGTGGAAAAATGATCACTGGAGACTATTATTAGCACAATATCTAAAATAAACGGTTCACATTTTAGGGGAAAATCTTGATACTAAGAGAAGCACTCAGCTGCACCAAACACACACATTCTCAGGCAGGAGTCCATTAAAAAGCAGTTATTCCATAATAAAATGTAGATACAGTATACTGTAGGCAATCATTTTATTTGCGTACATATATTAAGATGTAGCCACCCCCAAGAGAAATAAACATAAAGTGTTCTTGTTGGAGTAGCACAAGTGTTGACATCATACCTCCTTGGTGGACAGTCTTTTTAATTACAGCCCACAAACACCAGCCTCATTCTACGCTCTGCATAAATAAGAAACTAATTTATTTAATCAAGCTCAAGTTCCTCTAACGCTGTGTGTGTGCAGGCTGCACTAGAAAGCAGTGGTATTACATAATTAAGTTCTAACCTAATTTCATCTTTTCCCAGCATGACTTCTCCCCTCAGCCTCTCTGAAGATGTGCAGTCCTCTATCAGTGCCTATGACAGTAACCCTCTCTTGTGTAGTCTAAAGTGACACTGCAGGCAGAGCGGTGTGTATGTCAGCATTTCAGTGAGTGGATAAATAATTAACTGTGTGTGTGTGTGTGTGTGTGTGCGTGCGTGTGTCTTCCTGAAGCCCGACACCTGTTTCTATAAGCACATGGAGTGTTTATCTCTACCTAAGAGTGAGTACAATGCAGACCAGGGGGGGTTTAAGGCAGTGATAAAGTAGTCTGAGGTTGCTTTTGTTGCCATTGCCAATTTGCAACTTAATACTGTCACAGGCCTCTGGTTGCTAGAGTAAAGCAGGTTAAAAACATTGTTGTGACTCGCTTTAATACATTTCTGAGGGGCAATTTACCATGGGAAAATAAAACATAGCTTATCTTGTAGGTATTCTTATAAAATACCACGTTGTGGCCACTATCATACATCTGTATATTTGTTGTTATTACAGTATCACAAGAAAAAGACCTTGACCATATTAAATAGACACAAGAGAACATTTATTTTGAGATTGGAAACATTTGTTTGACCAAAAAAATGAAAATAAAGAAACAACAAAAGCTCCATGCACTTAATAGCATTTTCTTTTTTCTTAAGACTGTGAGATGCTGTTGAAATCTACAGGAAAAAGCTATTAAGTGGACCATGATGATCTAAATGTTGATGGCTAACCACTGTCACATAAACTGGGATGATGTAGAAATAAAAATGGTTATATTTGCAATCTCCATCGCAACGATTTTTTTCATATGTACTAATAAAGATTTTGAGATGTTGCTGTAAACTAATACATTTATCTTTTTGTCAAAATTAACTTTAAATGTTACTTTTTTCTGCCAACAGAGGCACTGTCACACAGTCTTTTTCCTTAATTAAAAGATCATCAAGAAAGTGCAGTAATAATATATAGTGGGTCAATTAAATTAAACTATATTACATACATTAAATACAAAATTTACTTTAAGCTGAATCTGTGGTTACATTTTACATCTTGTACATTTGCAGTTTAAGCATCAAGTTGATGCTCTAATCCAGGACAGAAATATAAATTAAGTTAAATTAAATTTATTCGATTTTTTCATTTCACTTTTTTCTTCTACTCCACTACATTTCAGAGGGAGATATTGTACTTTTTACTACATTTATCTGACAGCTTTAGTTACTTAGTTACTTCACAAATAAGATTTTCTAAGCTTTATTGATACAAAACATACAAAGAGCTTATAAAATGTAAAATTAATTACTCAACAGTATATATAAATACTACAATTAGTCAAAGTACAGAAACATTTACAATCATTTACATCATTTTTAAGTAACATTTCATGGTTCCAGCTTCTCAAATGTGGATCACAGGGGACATTTTCTGCATTAAGTATATTCACCTTTATTATTTAAGTATGTTTAAAGTACATTTTCTTCATTTTCCTTTTTCCAATTCAGAGCGTTTTACTTGTAACAGAGTATTTTTACAGTGTGGAATTAGTACTTTTACCTAATAAAGGAATCTGAACTAGTGTTTTGACCACTGTTGTAGTGGAGAGGGGCACTTTGTGAGTTGCTCTGCAGAAACATAACGATCCACTAGAGGCCGCTGACAGCCCTCCACTCTGTAGTATTTCTGGTTGGTTATTAAGTGGAAAGGTCTGTCTAAAAGCTTGAACTCAGCTGATGGGTGGGCTCTATGGGATCAGACTGTTCAGGGGTGTTTAGAGGCACAGTCCCCTTCTAGCCAATTACTAAAGAGTATCCTGTATTTGGTTGTAGTGGTACGATGTTGTGTCTGTCCTCCTCACTGCTTGTTTCATTAGTCACAAAAAACACATATTGTTCTTTTATCCATACATAAACATATGTATGCAACCACATACACTAATTACTGGTCTCATACTGAAGCTGACATTTATTAGTTAAAGGAAACCACAAAGAAGGCCATTCATTCATTGATTTTGTGTCAATATTTTGCTCTCTGCTTTTATGTATTATTATTATTATTATTATTATTATCAACTTGTGAAACATTTAAATAATCACGTTTATGTTATGTCTAGGTGCATTAGCAGTGTTTCTGCAAGAAAACTACAATAATTTCATACTGTTCTGATCTGTTCTGTACGATTAGATTCACTTCCAGTTCCAGTCTATACGTGTTGCAAAATAGTTATTTCGTCATAAAAACCTACTGACCCTCTATGCTTCCTCCATGGGACACATGTACATTTAATCTTCTGTATGATTAGTGACAAGCAGTCAGTGCAGCTGTAAAAGCAGCACACACTCCTCAAATATTGATCTGTCTGTCTTTACATTACACAGAGTGAGGGGCAATAGTCCCCTCTATAGTCCTCTGTCAATATTTAGAGAACACGCTGAAATCAAGGTTTGACTTCATTGATGTTACAATAACATGCCTTTTTAAATGAATTTTCAGTGTGTGGCATTGTGCATTTTCATGTGCCATGTGTTTAGTTAAATTCACTTTATTTGTTTAGGACGCTTCCCCAGTATCCAAATCACTCTCTGCAGAGTCTAGAGTACATAAAACCAAAACAACATAAGACACAAACAATAAACCATTTCTGAACATATCAGTGCACACAGTCACAATCTTGCACAGTCATGTTTAGTCACGTGTTATTTTTTCCACACTATCACCCAGTTTATTCACCTGTAGATGTGTTTAGTTGATTCCAGTTGATCCACAATGGTAGAGAGACAGTTCTATAAAATATATTATTTAAACATATTTGTATTCTTAATCAAGTAACTTATATGTTTTGATGTTATTACCATAAAAAATAATACCATGCATAAAATTACTGATTTTGTCAGTTTATTTTATTTTATTCAGACTTTGTTTCCCATTAACGTTGTGGCTTCCTGTTGCAAATCAAGTGTTTTCTGAACTGAATAACAGTTTTAGATCAAAACAAGGACCTGGAATAAACCCATGTTTGTCACCAATGTGAATGGATCAACAAAAGGTATTTGACTTGACTTCACAGTTTGACTTTAACATGACCCCGATACTCCTCTGCTTTTAGATAACTGGTATTTTGATAGGCTATATATTATATGTTGGCTGTGACGTCCATTCCACTTAGCAATTATTCAAGCTGATATTATTCATATTTTTATATTAACAATTTATCAAATAAAACCCAAAGAAAATCATCACCCAACTCTCTTTGATATCACTCTCCCCACTTTCATCAACCTTGTTTCCAGCAGCACCAGGCTGTTATTTTCAGTCAAAAAGCTCTGATAAAACCACTGTACACCAAATGTCTTGCACCAAACAACAGACAAAGTATAATAATGGAACATTTCACAGCTAAAGAGATATTTCTTTGTTAGTGAAGAACCAAAACAAAGCTGAGAGAACAGCAATGTTTCCCATCCGCCCAAGTTTAGAAACCGCCGTTCAAGTATTTGGCAACCCATTATTATTATTTATTAAACTTTTTGTATCCATCCGAGAGAACGACGGATCAAACTTTGCTTTGATGTGATTTCTGATTATTGTGCATCATTTTGTATAAAAGTGATTCTCTGCTTTCAAATTTTGACCATGTCAACTCTGCAGAGTAACAATTTTTCCTTTTTGTGATCCAGCAGATTTCCCACAGATTCAGTCCGTTCTGTGCATTGTATAAATTTCAAATGGAAACTAATAGCTATCAGTGATTGTGGTAATGATCTTGTTTGTTTATGACAAGTACAACAACATCTTAAAATCATTTCATCATTTTAAACTGCAGGTTGTTTGGACATGTTCCAATCGAAAGGACATGATAAGGCTGCAGACACTAGGATCACATGCTGAAATACTGATATGCTACATGTGCTGTAAAACCTGCAGCTTACCTATCATATTTGCACTACTTCACTTTGTATTGTGCTCTGCTGATAGTGGCAATGCTGAGTAGACGTTCCTAGAAGTTTCTAGATAAAGACTGTAAGTGAATTACTTGAATACATTGATACTGTAATGAGATATATTGTGTGTGTGAACATGTGTTAGTAAAGCTCCAGGTAGTTAATACACTACAAGAGCTGAAATATTATTATTATTTTTATTATTATTATTATGATTATAGTTATTATTATTAATGTTATTATAATTACATTTAATAAAATGCTTACTGGCCCTTGAATCCATGTTAACTCATATTAC